TCCTTCGTTGGACGGCTAAATGAGAAAGGTTCTTCAATGGATTGACCATGTGACTAGGCATACTGACACAGTATTCCAACAGGCCATTGTTAGGAGGGAGGATAAGGAGAACAGTTTATTGAAATGCACTGATAAAGACACGATGATAGGATAAATAGGATATAGCAATTTCTGGCCTGAATCAATGGGAGCGTAGAGTTAGGAACTTCTACAGGGAGTGGGGTGTGACCTCCGACAGTTGATCCTTTAGTCACACAAAAACTCAGTTCGCAACAAACTACTTCCGTAAAACAAAAAGCAGATCAGTTCATTTCTGCCGCATCACAGCGGAATAAGTCCGTCGACTATCAAGCGATTATCCGTTCACCTTCACACGAATTTCCATGGTTTCTACATTCCTTCCTGAATGATAATTTTGCGAAATTATGTTTATATAATACTTCTTGTCACCCTGATGTATGGCGTTGAACTTTACAAGGACGACGAAAAGGCTGAGCATCTGTCCAGGTTCTTTCAGTCGGTTTTTACGAGGGAAGTCGCTGTACCCACTGATCACTGTAATGTGGACAATGTCCCGACAATTGACTCAGTGGCTTTAAAAAAACCTATTGCTCAACAGGAATTACTGAAGCTAAAAGAAGGGACATCGCCCGGTCCTGACGAAATACGGGCAGAGTTGTTGAAGGAATTAGCCACAGAATTGGCAGAACCTCTGAGTCTCCTTTTCCAAGCCTCTCTTGACGCAGACAGACTGCCTCCTGAGTGGAAGACTGCGGGGATTTCACCAATTCATAAAAATGGCAGTCGCGCTTCCGCAAACAACTACCGACCAGTAAGCCTCACCTCCATATGCTGCAAAGTTATGGAACGAATTATCAAACGCAAACTGATGCAGTTTTTAGAGCAGCATCATCTTCTCTGCGATGCACAGCATGGTTTCCGCAGAGGAATGTCCTGCTTGACCAATCTACTCTACTGTCTTGAACTGTGGACTCGAGCGATTGATGAAGGAAACTCTGTGCATGTGGCCTACATAGACTTCAAGAAGGCCTTTGACAGCGTGCCACACCAACGTCTCCTATACAAGCTCAGCCGCATAGGGGTAAGAGGTAAGCTTTTGAAGTGGATTGAAAACTTTTGGTCGGTCGGTCCCCGACTGTCCGTCTTGGTGGCCAGCAATCGCCAGAGGTGACGATTACGAGCGGAGTACCTCAGGGCTCCGTTCTTGGCCCTATCCTCTTCCTCATCTATATTGATGACTGTATCCATGGTTTGGACTGCAACATTGCCATGTTTGTTGACGATATAAAGCTTTGGACCGTCATCCGCAACGAGGACGATGAAGCAAATTTACAGGCAAACTTAGACCGACTTGAACAATGGTCAGGCCACTGGCTCCTCCCATTTAATGTTACCAAATGCAACATTCTGAGGATTGGCAGAACCAGCTCTGCGCACCGGCAGACGTACTATCTAAATCACACATCGCTGCCACTGGCAGAAGTTCAGAAGGATCTAGGGGTGTGGATAACATCTTCACTAAAGCCATCATTCCACTGCTTGAAAGCAGCGAAATCCGCAATGTCCAGCTAATATTGTAGCAGCTGCTCCAGTCCCCCTTTTCTCCGGCTCCCTTTTGTCGGTCGATGACCGCGATAAGCACTGACAGGCCGCTGACGCACGACCACCCCCGCCGGCTAGAACTGGGACACCTCCTGTCCAGCTGCAGTGACTCCCGGCTGCACTCAAAAACTAGTATCGCCTAACGCGCGTCGAACGCTTTGGCTTGATTCCCGTGAGGTCTTGTGAGTATGCGCCCTCCACTCGTCCTCTAATTTGTCCAATCACACGACCACCACTCAGACAGTCACCCCCTCCTGCTGACCTAGACACACACACTCGCGTTAACAAGACACACCGTGACTGACGCTCTCCGTGAACGGACGCTTTTCTCTGTTGCAAGCAAATCGCCAACTTACGGCAACCTGCCCTGTGTACAGAATAAACTAGTCCTAACAGCTCCCTGACTTCTGACAGTAGACGAAACGAACTTATTGTGCGTAGTTTAAGTCGATCTCACATCCTTGACCGCCACAAATTGGTGACCCCGAATTTCCGAACACTGGAATTCCGCAAACTTTTCGTCCACAAAAACAATCTTTGGGCAACCTACAGCGCGATGTCCCAAGACCAGAAGTCACTCATTAACCCAAATACTCAAGGAGCTAGCGTACGCTTGGATCGGCTCGAGGAGGTATTTATGCGCCTGAAAGCCCAGCTTACTGCAATTACCACTAACGGCCCGCGGCGAACACCGAACCGTCGCCGTACTTTCTCCGTTTCCCACACCCGCCGTCCACAATCTCCAAGTAGCGTCTGCTGGTATCACCAACAATTTGGAGGAGCAGCTCGACGATGTCTTCAGCCATGCTCTTTCAAGGCATCTCTAACATCCTCAGGGAGACGATCCCACCCGCCACCAGAGGCCACTGCTGCTGCAAGCGTTGCCAATCTCCACACTCGCCGTTTGTTTCTCTGGGACCGTATCTTTGGCGCCAAATTCCTTGTCGACTCTAGTGCCGAGGTTAGCGTGGTTCCACCAACTCCGGCCGAACGTAAGACCCGCAGCTCTTTTTGTCTAACAGCTGCCAACAACTCCAGCATCACCACTTTGGACAGCGCTCCATCACACTTGATTTGGGCCTTCGTCGAATTTTCCGATGGGTTTTCATTATTGCCGACGTTTCCGTCGCTCTCATAGGCGCCAATTTCCTAGCTCACTTCAATCTTCTAGTCGATTTGAAGAATCGCCGACTCGTCGACTGCATCACCGACCTTCATGCCCGTTATCAATCCGATGTGAACCCCTGCGTCAACCCTCTTACTGTTATGCCCATCTCTGACTGTCCTTTCCACTCACTCCTCAGGCAGTTTCCCCGCCTAACCAACCCCTCATTTTGTGAAGTGGACATCAAACACACAGTCACCCACCACATTTCCACCAATGGACCTCCCAAATCTTGCCGACCACGTCGTCTTGCTCCAGACCGTTTGAAGATCGCCAAGGCAGAGTTCGATCACATGCTTGAGCTCGGCATCATCCGACAGTCCGACAGCTGCTGGGCATCACCCCTCCATCTTGTCCCCAAGAAGAGCGGCGACTGGCGACCGTGTGGTGACTATCGGGCACTGAACTCTGTGACTGTCCCCGATCAGTATCCCGTCCCGCACATCCAAGACTTCACTCTTTCGCTACATGGTAAGCGAATATTCTCTAAGATCGACCTTGTGCGTGCCTACCATCAAATCCCGATCGAAGCCAGTGATGTTCCGAAAACTGCAGTGACCACTCCCTTTGGGTTATTCGAATTCACTCGTATGCCCTTCGGTCTGAGGAACGCCACTCAAAACTTTCAGCGATTCATTGATCAGGTTCTGCGAGGTCTCGACTTCGTCTACGCCTGCATTGATGATTTGCTGGTGGCTAGTTCTGACGCTGCTGAACACGAGATCCATCTTCGACAACTCTTCGAACGGCCTGACTCTTTCGGCGTTGTAATCAATGCTGCTAAATGCGAGTTTGGAGTCCTCAGCCTTATCTTTCTTGGTCACGAAGTAAACTCAGATGGGATAAAGCCCGTCCCGGAAAAAGTTTCGGCCATATCAACGTTCCCCGTCCCGACAACCATCAGCCAACTACGCCGATTCTTGGGGATGGTGAACTACTATCACCGTTTTCTTCCCCATGGTGCCACCATACTCCAGCCTCTCAACAGCTTGCTGACCCACTCCAAGAAGACACTAGTGATGACCGAGGAGGCCGTCAGGTCCTTCAATGACGTCAAGGCCGCACTTGCGGACGCAACATTGCTTGCCCATCCTCGCTCAGATGCCCAACTAACTCTCATGACAGATGCTTCCAGCACTGCCGTTAGTGCGTCACTTCAGCAAACTGTTCGTGGTGTTCTACAGCCGCTGGCTTTCTTCTCGAAGAAGCTCAGCCCAGCAGAGACCCGCTACAGTGTCTTCGGCCGCGAACTCCTTGCCGTATATCTATCCATCCGGCACTTCCGCCATTTCCTCGAGGGTCGTGAATTCGTTGTTCTCACAGATCACAAGCCACTCGTTTTTGCACTGAGGGCCTTTCCCGATCGATACTCGCCCCGCGAAATCCGTCATCTTGACTTCATCTCACAGTTTTCCTGCGACATCCAACATGTTCACGGTAAGGAAAATGTGGTTGCTGATGCTCTTTCAAGACTCGAGATGGCCTCCATCACAACAGACGCCATAGACTTCACGCTCATGGCTGAGGCTCAGCGATCGGATGACGAGCTCTCCCAATACCGCCACGAGGACACTTCTTTACGCCTTCAAGATGTCCCCCTTCCCACTGGCACTGCACCATCACGCGCGACCTTTCTACCGGACACGAACGTCCTTTTGTTCCAGCAACTTTACGACGACAGGTGTTCAACGCCCTTCACAATCTGTCCCACCCTGAAGTCCGGGCGACAGTGAAACTCATCACTGACCGATTCGTCTGGCCCAACATCAACCGGGATGTACGGCATTGGACCCGCTCCTGTCTACCATGTCAACGAGCCAAAACGCATCGGCATACTATTACTCCGCCAGGAAATTTCGCCACCCCTGATGCACGCTTCAGTCATGTGCATATTTACCTGGTAGGTCCGCTGCCACCATCTAACGGTTCTACCTATATGCTGACATGTATTGATCGCTTTACTCGGTGGCCGGTTGCTGTGCCCATTCCGGACATCAGTGCCGAAACCGTAGCAAGAGCTTTCTTGACTCATTGGGTGTCCAATTTTTGAGTTCCTGCGACTGTCACCACTGACCGCGGATCCCAATTCGAGTCCACGCTGTTTCGCGAACTCACATCCCTTCTCGGTACCAATCAAATCCGAACAACAGCGTACCACCCTCAAGAAAATGGTCTCGTCGAACGCTTCCATCGACAGCTGAAGACTTCCCTTATGGCCCAGCCCGATCCTTCTCGATGGTCTGATCACCTTCCCCTGGTGCTGTTGTCCCTCCGTTCCACTCTCAAGGCCGACATCGGTTGCACTGCAGCTGATCTTGTCTACGGAACCTCCCTACGACTGCCCGGTGAGTTAGTTTATCCTTCAAACACGCTAACGTTTTTTGAACCTTGCAGTTATGTGGAGCGACTACGTAGTGCCATGCGCAATCTCCGCGCAACGCCCCCTCGGGCGTCACCAGCCAATTCCTTCATCCCACCCGACATGGATAAGTGCGATTTCGCCTGGGTTCGGCATGACGCTGTCCGACGACCACTCCAACCACCCTATGACGGGCCGTATAAAGTCCTTCGCCGATCTGACAAAGATGCTGTCATCGAACGCAACGGCAAGACCGACACAGTCAGCATTGATCGCGTCAAGCCGGCCTACATCGACGACAGTGACCATTCCTCACCTCAACAACGCACCCCGCCTCAGACAGTGCGGCCTCCTCCACCTACTGGCGACAGCCCCCCTCCGGTTCGCCACACACGATCTGGTCGCCACGTCCACTGGCCCGACAGGTTTGTGGCTGGCTAGCGTGTCGACGCCTTCACTTTGTTTGGTGTCTGAGGGGGAGTTGTAGCAGCTGCTCCAGTCCCCCTTTTCTCCGGCTCCCTTTTGTCGGTCGATGACCGCGATAAGCACTGACAGGCCGCTGACGCACGACCACCCCCGCCGGCTAGAACTGGGACACCTCCTGTCCAGCTGCAGTGACTCCCGGCTGCACTCAAAAACTAGTATCGCCTAACGCGCGTCGAACGCTTTGGCTTGATTCCCGTGAGGTCTTGTGAGTATGCGCCCTCCACTCGTCCTCTAATTTGTCCAATCACACGACCACCACTCAGACAGTCACCCCCTCCTGCTGACCTAGACACACACACTCGCGTTAACAAGACACACCGTGACTGACGCTCTCCGTGAACGGACGCTTTTCTCTGTTGCAAGCAAATCGCCAACTTACGGCAACCTGCCCTGCGTACAGAATAAACTAGTCCTAACAGCTCCCTGACTTCTGACAGTAGACGAAACGAACTTATTGTGCGTAGTTTAAGTCGATCTCACATCCTTGACCGCCACAATATCTCATTAAGCGGGCATTTACCAAGTTCGACGAAGGGTGCTTTCGCAAGGTCTTCGGGATGTTTGTGCGCCCACAAATAGAAATGGTCATTCAGACCTGGAGACCCTGGACTGTTAAGGATCGTACCACCCTCGAAAAAGTCCAACGACGGGCAACCAAGCTTGTTAAAGGTAATCAAAACCTACCTTACGAAACTAGACAGTCAAATCTTAACCTCTTTCCCCTGGACTACAGACAACTCCGTGGCGACTTAATTCAAACGTTTAGAATGTTACGGGGTCAGGACTGCTGCCTCGCATCCGGAGACTTCTTTGAGCTGGCCACCACTACTAGCTTGAGAGGACATCCTCTGAAACTACGTGTGACATGAGCGAGACTGGACGCAAGGAGGTCCTTCTTCAGCCACAGAGTGGTAAAGGCATGGAACGCCCTGCCTGTGGACGTCGTCATGTCCTCATCCGTGGGCTCATTTAAGAGAAAGCTTGACCAGAACAGGGATATGTACCTCCACAGCATCAGAAACTAACAAATTCCCCCCCTGTACCACCCGCCCCACCCAAAGTTTTATGTTACAAAGCATGCTACTCCCTATATTTTAGTAACATTACGTTTTACAATTTTCGCTATCTCCTGACCGCCACATATGCGCTTGCTTCGATATTACCTGGTCCATTCAGTACCGCACTGGATATTGTACAATTTTGACGTAGACGGCATTCACAGACAAATTCATATCAGTGACCAATGCCTGTAGTATGTAATTACTTACCTAATTTTTTTCACACTTGCCTTACACATTGTTTTGTTATGACGTTATTGTAACGAAAAGGGAGTTCAAAGGCGCTCGCCTACCTTTCCCTTAATAAATCTGATCTGATCTGAGCAACCAGGAGGATGCCGTTAACAGGTTTGGTCAAGTAAGAAACAAATATATAAGTGCATTATTAGAAGGCGTTAGGTTCATGGCAAAGTTTACTTCTGAGGTCAGTCATACTGCTTGTTTAGGATTAGGGTTGGCGTTAGGCAAGTGCTGGCGTCAGGGTTAAGTTTAGAACTAAGGTTATGGTTAAGGCTGGGGTTAATATTGAAATCAGGGCTAGGGTTGGGTTAACATGGGGACCAGGGATGGGTAATGGGTAGGTTTAAGGTTAGGGCTTGGAAAGGGTTAGATTCATGCAAGGGATCATGCATTAATTCATAGTCGTCTTCCAGTTGCCATTTCCGCGAAGCCAACAGCAAAACGTTGCTTTTCTGACTATGCTAATTTTAACAAGGAATTATTAAATAATGTTACAATCACTCTTGAGTGGCACAGCATTATTTAGAATAATGATCTAAGTTTTTCAACAAGGTCTTCCAATGCGAAACCGACGGTCTTCTCGACCTAATTCCACGGAGAACGTTTGAACCGAGTGCCACTTTTCCCACTGCCCCACACTTTCTTAAAAACAGACTTAGGAAGTTGCGGGGGCAGCCTTATGATCCTCTCTTGGACTCATTATCAGTTCATCTAAGAATCATTACAATATCTCAATTATTTCCGAAAGGGAGGCTCTAGCGAGATAGGCGTAGGGAGTCTTTAAATATTAATGACGCGAATGCTTATAGATATGCTGTTCTGGTCTTCCGTCAAAGATCGTCTGCCAAGTCCCCCCAAGTCATTCCGTCTTTGTTTATTTTCGACGATACCTTCACCACAGAGAAATCTGTAAAAGCAGAAATGTAAACTTCATTCTTTGCCAAACATTTTACCGTTGAAACTGACCCAATCCGTTCATTTTCTCCGTTGTCTGCTGCCTCCGTCACAACCATTAATTTTGCTCCTGCAACTATTAAAAAACTGCTAAACTAGCTTGCTTATTCGTATTCAGTTGAAAGTGACAATATCCCAAATTCTAGGCAGAATGATATTACCGACAAAGGCGAATGAGACTGGAATGACCATTTCTGGCTTACTAGCCATCGACAGCAGTCGTAGCCAACCCCGAAGTGTGGAACACCCGAGGCTCGAACTCGTGACCCCTTTGTTAGAATGCCACGCCTCTAACCATTGGGCCACGACCCCGTTGCCCGTTCTGCCTTTATCATGTGCCGCTGAGCGGCTGTTGGTTCGGCACGAGAGAGCACCCGTAAGGCACAACGGAACGAGTGAGTTCCGTAAGAACGCTCGGTGAGCGCCCATTACCATCTCAAACTCTCTTATTAAACAATTAAGAGATCTTCCTCCTCTGCTTATCAAACTCTTCTCAGTCTTTCTTGAAAATGGTTTCTTTTCCGACTATTGGAAAACTTCTACTCTTATTCAGTATTTAAATCTGGCTGTCTTTCTTATGTTCAAATCTATCGGGGTGTCCATAAAACACATTCTCTCGCTAAAACCTTTGAAAAAATTATCGTCTTAAAAATTACCGACTTTGTATAGCGAATCAAGTTATAAGCCCTTCCTATATACATCCATTCAACAAATCCACGACCTTTCATTAACTGGAGCAAATCCATGCTGACTTGCTTGCTTTTTCAGCATGGAGCTCAAAGTGGCTAATGGAATTCTCTCCGTCTAAATGTCGCTATACGTGTTTTGGAACTGAGAGGCTACCCCAACCGGTGGTCTTTCAAGGCACACCTATGACTGAACGTACCACCATCAAGGACTTAGGCTTAAGTCACACCAATAATCTTGATCTCTTACCACACACTGGCAGAATTACGGCCAAAGCTGCCCGGATTTTCGGCTTTATTGCTCACAACTTCTATCTTTCTGACATTAAATTGAGATTCCCTCGATTATTTGTCCTTATCTTTCTAGGGTTTTTGGTCATTCCTTGCTTTGATGAACGAGGCTAGTTGTTCAGAAATTGAAAAGGTTCGATTGCAACGTACTAGAAGACTCTTAGGTACGGAACATTCAAAAATCTCCTACTCAGATAGATGAAAGATAAGTAACCTAAAATTTTTATTGTTCGAAGACTGGAAGCCGGCCTTTGTATCCTCTTTCGAATTAATAATAAGTCAAAACTTACTCGAAATTCAGCTGTTACCCTTGGAAGTCGCTCATACAATTTTCGCAATCCTTCATCGGTTCCTCCCCGCTTCCTCCACCTCTGAGCGCTCTTTTTTTAGCTTCAGTGTGTACTTTTCATCGGAATAACCTTCTAATGGATGTAAGATCTTTAGATAATCCACACGCTTTTAAGAGAAGTTTGCGCCTTTATCTGAATACTGACTCGATTAAATTTTATTTTCCCCATTCTTCCCGGACAACTTACTCTATGACACCGAGAAAGTACCACCGGGAAATAAGGACGTTGACATTAAAGTAACGTCTCCACTCACATATCTTCCTTTTGTGTGTAGTACCGCTTCCTGGGATCCCTCATCAGATATCGTGCCCCTCACAGAGTACGATATCCTTCCCGACAAATTATCTCAAAGACGCAGCATATCGGAGACTCCCAGGATTCCCCGGTATCATCTATCCTTTAACTACTTCATTGAGATAAGTCGCTAAAACCAAACCTTGTCCAAGTTAAGAAATTGCTGTTTAAATTAATCAAAGCGAAAACCTCATGCAGGCCCCTAGGTTTGAATGCTCAGTGGTTGTCGCGTTGTTGGGTCGCGTGGTCTGTTCCGTCTTCTGTCGAAGATGTCTTCCGAACCTCTGAGCAAGAAGTATGTTTTTGAGGATACATCGGATCTGTTTTGCGCATTCTCCTGCGTCCTCTAATCTTATAAATACATCATAACATGTACCAATGGTCATAGACCTTTAAACGTACCCATTATCAACGTGGTTTTCTCTACCTCGCTGCTAAAATGTTGTATAGACCCCGAGTTATTTTCGCAGCCAGAAGTGTTTGATACTGTTTGGCCTTATATTAGATTCCAATAGCTGCGATTGACGCCATTTTTGTAAACTCCGTTTTCATCTATGAACCTATGTCCCTCACTTCCCGGATAGCATTTAGTCGCCAAGGCCTAGACATTTGCTAGCCCGTTTGACTTGCGGGCTAATGCAGGGCTAGTAACCTGACTGGTTTGCAGTGCTCCATCTGTGCGAGGAAAGTAGCTTTTCTGCTACACTCCCTCGATGCTCACCCGAGTGCATTTTCCGCATCACGCCTGGGAGTCCCTTTGAACGTACACACGAATGCAGGGTGCACGCACGCACTTTGTCCGGAATTTAGGCCCCTGTCTGGCGACTTAAGTCGCCTCGGGCTAAAACGCCCTCAGCCCGTCCGAGAAGGCGCGTCAACTTACTGTCCCTGCATGGGCAGTGTCCGCCAGGATTGCTGAAAAGATCTAGTCAATCGCAATACTAGCCCTCGACCGGGCTAGCCCTAGGTGAGTAGAATGCTGTCAGGGTTGGAAGCAGTTTTAGCCATAGATGCGTAGCCTATTGATTTAATTTATACTGGTTCTCACTGTTGCTTACTTGGTATCACCCGACGTGCATCTA